GAGGGGGCTCTGAGCAACCTGATCTAGTTGAAGATGTCCCTGCCCACGGCAGGGGGGTTGGACTAGATGACCTTTAAAGGTCCCTTCCAAGCCAAACTATTCTATGATTCTATGATTCTTCCTTCTCGGTCTAGAAAATGGGTTGGAAAGTCATCCCAGATGTAACATTTTCTCCATCCTTATTTGAACAGAAAAACTAAGAGAAGCAGTCTCTCTTGTAATGTGTTAACAATTCTGCATCAACACCAAGCCTGGTTGATGGTACATAAAGCTAAAAATGAATAAAATCTTCACTAAATTGCTTTGAATGTTCAAACAGACTGAGTTTGCTTTTTCAACTGAGGCTTATGCCACTTCCAGTTTTTCCTCAAAACATTTGCTTATTCATATATTTATCACAGAAATGGCCTTACCTCAGCTGCATCTTGCTGGTCTCTGAAGACAATTGCATTTTTTATGGATTGGATAAAAAATCCATTCAGTTCCTTTTGTTTCTTGTTTGGCAAAATCCGGAGCAATGGGATCATTATGAATGGGAAAGAAACTGTAAGAGGTTTTAAAGAAGAAAACACAGAATCAGACTGTAAAAGCATATAATATCCCCCTCCTTTCATTAATATTATAAAGCTCATCAAGTGGGATGTGTTACTTTTGTGAAACCTCTTTCTTCCCCTTTCTCTCTCCCTCTTCCTCTTTTTCTTCCACCCCCATAGCCTGGTAAAGGATCTTCTTTTAGAAATTCCATGTTGGCCGGGACTCCCCTGCCAGATAGATGCCTTCCAAGCTTGATTCCACAATGCTTCAGGATTTCAGTTCAGCTTCATGATGCCACAGAGCTACCACAAAGGGGAGAATTATTTTCCCTGTCTACTCAAACAATTGCATACAGAAGGTGGGGGATCTCGAACTAGCCTAGCAGCTTATGGCACTGATCCATGAAATTGTGTAGGAGTCATTCTCATTTACAGTTCTCCAATACTAGGATACTGGTTTGCTATTTTATTTTGGTTCTCTAAACAGGCCACAGACTCTGGAAGTGGGATGTTATCACAAGGATGGTCTCCAGTCCATGGCCTTTATAGTCAGGAACTAGAAACCTGAGTGAAGTCTTGCATCTTAATAAACCCCTCACTAACTTATGAACAACTTAAGACTAACGAGTCAGTCATCGGAAAACCCCTGTGCTGCCAACAGGGCAACACAGTGTGGAAATTCAGACCACGTAATGTACCAGCAGAAAGAGATCAACCAATGAATCCAACCCCAAACCCTACAGAAACTTTCTTTAATGAAGGACACGGTCTTTGACCTAAAGGGGCACATTTCCGTCCCTTCAGAAATTAATCACAAATCCCACTTTGCAATCAGGTTAAACATTAACCCGAGGACATTTTGGATACACAACTCCAGAAGGAAACAGTTCACGTGCTGCTAGTACAGGTGCAATCTGTAATGCCAGCAGGATCAGATGGGCACAGGAAACTTTGCCACTGTGCCGCCTGACACTATTGTGAGCAGGTCTAGCTAGGAAGATGGTAAAACCTCAACAACCTCGATTATGCTGTGGCTTCCTCAGCTATGATTCTTACTGCCTTTGCATTAACAATGCCACTGACACCGTGAAGCCTTCACTTTCATGCGCTAGAACTAAATGGCTTTATACCCCATTCTTGCATTCCCTATCCATTCACCTGAAAATAAATGCATTCTCTTAATGACAGCCTGTGCTGGCACTTATCATCTTTATCTTTTATAGCCACCAACTAGGCTGCTGCTGCTGTTCAAATAAGAATTTGGAGGACTTATACTATCTGCTTATGCTTCTCCACCTATTTTCTTTAGTGGGTTATTAGCCCACTGTTTTTTATGCATGGGGTTTCAATCTCTACCAAGCAAACCCAGTGCACAAAAACTTTACTCGCAGGCTCCGAAGGGCAGTTACTCTGTTTTAATGCAGAAGTATACTAAAAGAGATACCGTAGAAACTACGGGTCCCAGAAACCTTCCACTCAGATCAACCTGGAGCATTGCCTTCCCAGACTCAGTGTCTGGAGGAAGTTGCATTAATGGTGACAAGAGCTGTAGAGCATATGGTGGAAGTCTCGAGGGTATACTTGGCCTGTAGGTTTTATTCTGAACACCTCTGAAATAAAGTCTGCTATACATCTTCCTGCTCCTGCTTCAGCATGTTTTGCAATTTGAGAATGACTTTTAGAAAATGACCATAAAGAAGAAGACAAAGCTAGACTATACTCACGGATTAGAATGAGGAGAGGCTTAAACAAAGACATTTCAAAGAATGTTCTGCAATTCTTAACAAAGGGGTCGTCAGGATCCTTCTGAGAATCCACCTCAGTACCAAAAGCTACACTACCAACGACATCCAAGGTAAAGCAGTTGTAACACCTGCATTGAGTTGAAGAATGATAAATCATTAGCTACAAATTACATATCCATTAATATCTTGCTTCTACAAACATCACATAACATTAATTTTTGCCTCCAATTTTCTTTTTGCTTTTAGATTTGAGCTTTGCCAACAAGAGATGTTTCCATCATTCTGACAAATGCTGCTGCTTAATAACGATCACCTTCTCTCCATCTACAAAGTGAACATATTTTCATATAGCTCAATAATTCCACTAAAAATTTATAAAAAATAAACAATATTTCATTTGTTATTACCTAGAAATCAAATACAACCGATCGAAGATTCATAAGCGTTTTCTTAGTATGCATTCTAATAAAAGAGATCATTCCTTTCTCATTTTAAACTGCAGAAACCACATCTACTACCAGTCCAGTCTAAACTCTCAGTGACAAGATGTGCTTAAGTAAAATTTCCTGTTAAGGGTTTCCTTCATCTTCTTGATAGCTCCTTTGTAATGTAAAATCGTGGCCAAAACCAAGAGGAACTGACACCATGTGAAATCTGTGTCTCTGCAGAGGAGCAGCAAATGCTTTGAGAACTACAAATGACCTGTGGACCATGATCCAGAAACTTCAGAACTTACTGAATCTCTCCCTGCATATCTGACCATCTATCCAGTTCTCTCACCATCTTTATTTCTACTGGGCATTAGCAGCTGTATTTAGTTTTGAGATAAATGGACTGAGAATGTAAAATATCTTTGAAATTTGATTCTTCTGATCTGTGGTCAAGTCTGCAATGACTGTTCTTCTATGTTCCCTTACAAATGGCTAATATCAAATTCTCTGGTGTTTTAACCTGAGTGAGCATGTATTAAGAGAAGGACAGGACTCAGGCCCAGTATATCCTGTATAGATATTGTGAAGCAGCATTTCTAAACTATGATCTTTGGGCACTGTCATTCTGATGACACCAGAGCAGATTTGGAAGATAACAACAGTACTGCAAAGCTAAGTAACTTATTTGGGTTGTCAACTCTTACACACAAAACCCCCACATTGTTAGAAGTTGAAATGTTAAAAGAGGGGGCACTGCAATAAAACAATAATTGCAGAAGCACTTGATCATCTACCTCTCCAAGGTACTGAAAAAGCTTAAAAACTAAATTTTGCGTTGTTGGCAAAGCACAAAATGGCTAAAGACAACTAACATACAAGACAACAGGAGATTGCAGACAGGGTATTTACATCCAAAAAATAGCTCCCAAGGCAATTCTGGGAAACTGCAGTGCAATGATAATCACATTTATGTATGTCAAACCTGCTGAAATGGTAGTATGATAAAACAACTGGAAGATCATATTCTGAGATGATCAACATCATTCATTTATACTTTCAAAAGGTCTTTTCCAAAGTGCCTCTTGAGAGGTGAAACCCTCAAGGATCAATAGCTAAAAGACCAGGCAAAGAAAAAGGACAAATGGAAAAAAGGGAAAAGCCTGGAAGGACTCAAAAGGTCAATTTTCATCAGAGCACTAGGCTAAGTGTAATGTATCTCAAGGTTTCATGGCATCTCTTCAGATGTTTAATAAAGAGATCTCTGTGCACATGCATACACTTGCATATGTACTTGAAAAGAGATGGATGAATTATGGCTAAATATCTATTTCTTTAGATGAACCAAATTATTTGCACTGCTCCCGTTTCGGGGAAACCATGAAGAACTTCAGAGGGCACTGACCAGCCTAGCAAATGAAGTGTATGCAAAATAGTGCCTATTAGAAAGAATGCATTTGAACTACTCATATGCCGTACAGGGTCCTAGAAGAAATGCATCTGCTCAGAGAAGGGGCTAGACATTGTTGTGAACAGTTCAGTGAAGACCTCTGATGAAAGAGCAACAAAAAAGATAATAGGCTATTAAATGCACAAGAAACGGTAGAAAGCACAGTATGGAAAATATTAAAGTGTCATTTTATAAATCAATGGTGCATTCTCATCTGGACTACCGATCCCGTCATTTCACAAAAGGCTAGTGTGCCATTAGAGGGGGTTAGGAGGAATGTGGAAAGAATGATTAAGTGCTCAAAAAACCTCATATAAAAAAAGCAAGAGGATGATGGACTAGAGGGATTTGATACTAGATCAATTCCTATATCTGTACGTTATTGGCAGACTGTAGAGAGCAGACTGGACAGGGACTGATTCAGCTTTCCTTTCTGCTTCCAGCTGTTAAAACTTCATTAAACAACAGCTAGAAATACATTAGATGCTTTTCCAAAATTACTTTTCAAGTATGCAATGGCTGCCCCCAGGAAGAAAAGACATCTATCAGACACATCCTCTATTAAACTACGATCTCCACTTATAAAAACGAGGGAGGAAAAAAAATCTTCTTTTATACAGTAAGCGCATATTTAGAATAACTGCTGCTATTGACTTTTTTTTTAAATCTGCTACTAATTTCTGGCATGTTGAACATACCTCTGGATATCAAAAGCTTTGCCAGAATCTGCATAGACTTTCAAGTTACACAGCAGGATGTCACAGGCCTGGTTTATTAGCGGTATCATCTAGAAAGGAACACATTGTATTGTGAAAAACATTAAAATGTTAAAAAAAAACCAAAACAATTATTCTAAATTAGTTTTACCCAGTAGATGGGACAGAGCTCTCAGGATCCTCTGCAGGTGTGGTCAGGCACTTTTGCACAGGTAAGATGAAATGTTTGGACTGTCTGCTAAAAATAAACTTACACATTACAGGGATGCCCTTCTCCAGCTCTGGGCCTAAACACAAGAGGCCCTGTTGCTTACCTGACCTTTGGTTCTTGCTCACCTGTGGCTACATACGCAGAGAGCTATAAAGCAAAGACATCCCCCTCTCTTTTTAATCATTCCCTGTTCCAACTGATGATTTATCACGATCCATATTTACAGTACATTACATTTAGGCTACATATGCTCCAGGGCAGAAGGAATAATATTTTCCATAGTCCCAAAGTCCTGTAAAGATATTAGCATCAGTGGCCCAGCATTTCCATCCTGCTGTCCCTCAGTTTGAGGGATTTACCATGTACGTTGGAAAAGCACCATGTATACCACTACAAGTTGCTGAGGGCAAACTGCTGTTGCTACCTGAGGAAAGGGTTTTCTGGAGCGGTGACGCCATTAAGTGGACAATCACGTGAATTTATTCAGCTAATGGTTCTTTCCAGTCGCTGACACGTGATGGTCAGGTAGACTTACCCGCAGCCTGGCTGTAGCTAACAGTGCAATAGTCTCTTCTTTAGCGCTTTATGGAAACCATGACATAGGCAACCATCAAGACCTCATTAAAGTCTCTCTCTCTCTCTTTCTCTTTCACTTTTTACATATGAAAGGCATCAGACACTTGCCTTGATTACACCTGCTAGGGTGGTAGAGGAAGGGTGTAGCAACAATCCAGCCATGATCCTAAAGGCATTATCTGCTATGGCTCTTTCTCCATACAGACTGCTGAGAGATCCTTATAGCCTACAATTTAATACCACAGTCTTGCCTCAACAATTATGCCAAGCATCAGCAGACATACGCACAGAAACCTGCCTTTCCTTCCTGAACAACCTCCTTCAGCATACGGATATCAACAAACATGAGAACAGACTTGTCCTACTCCTCTGACATTCTTGTTGCCAAAAAAGACTTACTGCAGCCTCTCAGCACACTCCGAGAGCTATGCAGCCCGCCCAGCCAAGTCCATTTTGCTTGGCACTTCTACCTCTGCGAAACTGGCATAACACTTTGTGCACAGGCACACTGCCATCCTAACACATGGGCAAGACTATATGCAGTCAAAAGGCCAACGCGGGAGCATCCAACATGTTTTCCAAAGGCGGAAGTCTGAGTCAAGAATGTGTCTAGCTGCTCTCGAGGTCCCGTACCTATATGGGATGGAGCAGGTTGTCGCTATTTCAGTTCAAAGCCGGATTGATTTGGGCTTTGCCACAGTCTCACAAGACAATTCTGAAGCCAGATTAGTATTCGGTAAAAGTAGCTGGTATGTGTTTGGGGGGTGCACACCACGTTATGTGGCAGTTTTCTTCCCCTTTTGGCTTTCTAAAGAAGGTCCCCTGCAGTGAGCTCCTTCTCAAATGGTTCAACAAAATTAACACATTTCTGTTCAACAGATTGAACCAGGGTGAAATGCTTTATAATCTCTGGTCCGGCCTCTCCAATGAACTGAACCAGTCAAGGAGAACAAAATGAAAATCCATATTTTAACAGGTATGATGTTTCCTAAACAGATGGTGATCGTTTCAGATTTTCCTTTTATTGCCTTATTTTCTCTCTTATTCTTCACATCACCAGACCTGCAACCACCCAGCTGGTTGCTATTGCTTTCCAACAGCTGGCAGAGATGGCAGGGGTATGTACACCTGGCCAGGGCATCTCACAGCACCTCTGCACTTTCCACATTCCACCAGCCTTTCAAAATACTGTTGCAATTCATTTCTAGCCATAAGATATTTTTATTAGCAAATCTAACCAGGAAAATGGGGAAGGGGGCACATGGATTTGATTTATTCTTAGCATGATAGGACAGAGTCATATCAATGAGACAATTATTTGCATATGAAAGCTATGGGGGATATCTACTCGGGAATCCTGGGTTTGGGTTTTTATTCCCGTAAGGGACATAAATTAGTCCAAGATTGCTAACTACACAGACCACAGACTGAAACATTCTCAAGTCCCTTAACACTTTAAACTCTTTGTTCAATTGTCAAGAAAAATAAAGTAGTGTTTGGGGAGGTGAACAATACCAAACTTTGAAAACCGGCACAGAAACAGACATGCTGATCTGCACCGCCTTGGGTATCACTAACTTCCTATACATTATCATTTGCCAGTCAGAACATAAAAGCTGCATAACCTGCCTGAGATTCAGTTCTTGGTGGGTAAACAAACCCCAGCTGCTCTGTGTTCAGATTGGCTGAGAGTAACAGGATGAAGAAAAATCTAAACAATATGGTCCCTGTAAATATTTGATCTGCCAGTTATCTAATAGCAAGAGTAGCCCAGAGTCCAAATTTCTTTCTTTCTGCCAAAGAAGAGCATTTGGGGTTAGGGTTTTCATGATGCCAGGAGCTTTGCTGTATAAATCCTGCCAATATGCTATTTGGCACATAATAACAATTAGTTTCTGATTCTGCATACGCACAGTGCATGGGGATGTTTGCACTGTTCAAAGGCATCAGAGTCATGTTCCTCTAGTTAGATGTGGTCCTCAGTATTCACTATTATTATTCTCCTTATTATTAGCACCCAAACTATAAAGTAGAAGGCTGGGTCATATTCACTGTAGACAGACACACTGGAAACTTTACTGTTCAGATACAGTACACAGAGGTCACATTGGGCCTCTTGTCCCACAAATGGGATGAAATAGAAAGGAAAGAGAAGGAGAAAGGATATATCTCTAACATAAGAACTGCTTCTGTACCAGATTTCAAGTCCCTGACTAAAACCAGGAAAAGAGCGGAGCTTCAGGAAGATGTTTGTGAGAGGATTTGTTACCATCACCTCACAGTGAGGCCCTGCTATTCATGGGCACAACTTACCAAAATGAGCAACTCAACCGGACACTGACTTGTGGCTCAAGGATATGCACATTTCACATATCAGCTTTTACATTAGTGATTTGCTTTGTCTCAGGTGAGCACACTTGCTTTGCTGAGTAACAATAGCAATTTCCAGAGACCCTTTCAAAATGCCTCTGATGAATGTGCACCAGCAGAGTAAGAGCAAATCAAGGAAACCTCAATGGTTGGACTGTCAGATCTTATGTTCTAGTGGGACCTGGAAGATCTACATGCCTGAGAGTGACACTAGAGGATTTTCCTGCACTGTTCTGCCATGTTATCACAAGTTCTGCTTTGTGTCTCCCTTTGTTTGAAAGAAAATGCCTCAGCACAAACTCCACTTAGCAGGTTATTTAGGACAATGCTACACGATGCTGTGCTCTGTTCTTTAATTTCTGTGTTCTGTTTTGTTTTAATGGTTGGTTAATGGAGGAGAGGATTCCCGGCATACTGATAGGAGATGACAAGACTACTGCAGCAACATCAGAATAAATAAAAATCAATAGGTTTTCTGCTGGTGTTGGCTGTAAAAGAGAGCAAAGCTATTTATCAAGTCTGACAAGGGGTCCCGAACTGCAGGATCATCACAGGCACCACAGCAAAAAGAAGAGGAACAAAATAGGAAATACTAAATAGGGAATCAAGATCACTAACATATCAGCTTGTTTCAAGACATAATAGCTGAGGAGAGCATGACAGAAACACCGGGAAATGCATCTTTTACTTAAGGACCTCCAGGTATTTTACTTCACCAATTCCTCACGAATTACATCTTCGATCAACTTTCAGTGGTCGGTATTATTCCCATTTAACAGATGAAAGCCGTTTCATGCACAGAGAATTTAAGTAGCTTCTGCCAGATCACCCACAGGCAGTCAATGGCAGAGCTGGAAGTGAAACTTCTTGGGTCTCCTGCCTCCTATCTCTCATTTCTTGTTCTTAGTGCTCCCATAGCAATGGCACTATGGGAGTGCACTATGGGAGGTCCATTCAGAGGTCTCACTGGAAAGAGCTTATTATCAGATCTGCTACCAACTCCAGTGGCATCTCATGTGGGATGCTACCAAATCTTACTGCAGGATCAAGCTTAGAAGCCTATTGATTTATGCTATACTTACCACTATAGTATTTGCATTTAATGTTATCTGGAGCCAAACCTTCCTTCAGCTGGAGTGGACTGCTTTACTGATCTTTACATACTTGTTAGAAAAAGAAAACTAAAAAGGGAGAACACACAATATATAGAAATCCATAAAAGCAACAGTGAAACAGTGCATGGCTTTTAAAGAGGAATTGAGGAGACAGAGAAAGAAAGCTGGAGAAGATGCCAGAAAACCTTCGAAAATGTTAGGAAAACAACTCTCTGTGTACACGCAGCAATCGCTATGCTGGCTACCCAACAGCTCTATAACCTCTAGTTTCTAGTTAATTGCTCGTAACTTTGCAAACTTCAAAATTTCTGGGATCAACTTTTCCTCATTTGGTGACTGGCTTTGCCAAACTAAGGGGAAATTCCTCAAGCTTAGTGAACTTCTCAGTGACGCTACACCGCTTCTGTGGAGAGACGAGGGCAAAGTACGCCTCTGTCCCCAGCCACAGCACCTAGATGCCTCTGTGGGGCATTACGGGTCAAACCTTAGCAACATACATTAGCTCTGTCTTGGGCTTTGTCCTCCAGCAGCTAGGCCAAAGAGTGGATGACCAGCTTCTTGTTATTTCCAGTGCTGAAGCTGCCCTTTAGCCTAGTAGTAGATTCTTGTGTTTCTGAAATGGAGATATCAGGAACCTACACTCAACTCTGCGGCCCTCTGTGCATCTTTTATCTGAAGTGATTGCTATGGGGAGCACGAGGAGTCATTAACATTTATTGCTCCGTCACAGGCTAATAGCTCCCAGTTCTCTCAGACCATCCAGACAGACAAGTCTATGTTCAGAGTGGCACTAAGGGCT